AAGAATATTTTAGAACAAAAAACGATTTGGATACGACCTACAAAGTTGGTAGTGCAGTTTGTTGCGAATTGTATTCAAGATTTATAATTAGATGGAGTACTTATGAATAGATTCTCTTAAACTGTATTTCTAATGATGTATCTCTATTGGAGTCAAAAGCCAGTTGAGTGTCGTTTTTCGGATGAATAAATAGCCGGGTATCATGATGTTGTCATTAGGATCACTTTTTGTTTCATCAATGGTGGGTGTGTTCTCTTCCAGTTTTGTATCTCCACAAATCGAATTTTTCTTTCACAAACTTTTGCACTTAGATAGAATTCGATACGCTTTACAAAAATGTCAGCGAGACCTTTGGTTGTTTTCCGAATGACAATCGTGAAAACTTTTCCTTTTTCTCAAACAGTACTTTTTGCTTGAATCTTGTTAGAGTGTTGTTATTAGGGCCAAAATTTAGCTGACTGTCGTTATTAGGGACATTACTCTATTTTAGATCTATTTCAAAAATATCTTAACGATCAATTATATAGATTTGTTATCGAATATCCAATCATTTGAAAGCTAGTTTCATCAATCAGCGATGACCATCACAGATGTGAACATTGTTTTATATTCAATTGCATCAATTTTTTCGACAATTCAGATCTGTATCTCTATTTATCTTTTAATGTTCATGATTTTACATCAATCAGCAATCAAAAGAAAACGTGTGGATTATTTATTTCTTGCAAATATTTATATCATTCTACTATGTATTAGCTGTTTTCTTTTGGATATGTGTATTTATTATATGTATGGATATTCACATCCAGATAGTTCGTTTAATAATTGGTGGTGTCGAATAAAAGCTTATTTTATGTACATTTGTGGTTATACATTTTTTCATTCATTCTTGCTCCAGGCTATTTATAGAATATGTCGAATCATATATCCAATACAAACCAAATGTAAACCTTTTAGTTTTTATATAATCATTTCATTTGGTCAATGGATTTTTTCAGCCTTAGAATTATTGCCAAGTTTGATTATCGGTGATATGGAATACTTACATAATGATTATCATTGTCAAGTTACACCAAGTAGTATGCGTGGATCATTAACTGTTTGTGTAATTGGTTTTGTTTTTCCATTTATTATAATAGCATGTAGCTATGTGTATACTATATATTATGTTCGACAACATAACTCAACAATGATAACAATTAAGCGACGAAAAAGTATACATCGTGATATAATTATCTTAAAACGTGTACTTATCATTCTTACACTTTTGACAGCTTCTGCTGCACCACATGCATTTTTTCCCGTAGCTTACCGGATTCTTGGAAGTCTTCCAACATGGTTAGTTGCTTTGGAATGGCTTCTCACTATTCTCGCACTGATCTCTATTTCAGTGGTACTTCCATTGGTATCTCCTCATCTGAAGCAATTGTACACACACACAATTTTCAACGTGAGATCAGTACCTCTTGAGCGCGAGCAACTTACTATTAAATGATACATGAATTATTGAAAACATGCAAAACATCTGTCTCCAAATATCCTTATATACGCATCCATATATAAGTGATGTCTCAAAAGTTCTGTAGTGATTTTGAAATTCATCGTTCTCGCGTTCAGCAAGAGCAAACCCTTTGAAACTTCGGCAGATTATTTTACATGCTTAGTGCTATATAACCACAAAGTTTGAAATCAATAGCTTATACTATTGATGAGAACTAATAGCAACATTGTCATGCACTATTTTTTCAATTTTCTAGCATCGAAAATTCGATATAAAATCGTAAAAGAAATGTTATTTTCAGTGTCTTTTTTGTCAACACATGACTTACGAAAAACCAAAAATAACATATTATAAATTATGTAATTTTTTCTAGCAAACAAGGTAGTCAACGAATTCCGTTTTACAAAATGTCATTTTTCAAGACGATCATGATCGTAAACAAAAGATGAAGGAATATTCGAATGTTATTAGGATGGGGTGTGGGCATGTGTTACGGGCTTTGCCCTCACAGTGTGTCTTCTATTTTCTGCTGTTTACTTTTTGTCCTTGATTTCATATAAATCGAGATTATGCCTTCCCTCTTTCTTTTTCTTCGATATGATGTCATTATTTTCTTATTATGGCAACATCTCTTTCTTCGATGTAATATCTTTCGATTACATTATCTTCTCTTTTTTGTATTCATTTTCTCTTTCGTTTATCCTGGATTTGCGAAATGATATACATATATTCGCGTTTCTTTCTGTTCTAGTTGGTACGATGTAGTTTGATCATTTGTGTGTATGTGTGTCCGTACATTTTTAGTTAGATATAAAAAGAAAAAGAAAAAGGGTAAAAAACCAAGACCCCAATAATGTGGCTGTGGTGGTGTGGGGGTGGGGCGTGGAATGTGAATGTGGATGCGCATGCGTGTTGGTGTGGGAGTGTATAAAGCGAACAGACATACCAACACAAACATCCACACACACACCCCGCACCCCATGTTTTACATCCCCACCAACGCCTACCCAGGGAATAAAAAAATGAAAAAAATTTCATTTAAATGATTATTTTCAAATTTTTTATCAAAAAAATTCCGTTACTTTAATTATTTTGCAAAAATCAAACTCATTCAGACAATTTCATTATTTTTGTACCATTTTCATTGCCTCAAATTGTTTATTCTAGAAAAATTGAAATTACTGCATTGATTTCATTTTTTTTGCGTGATTTTCATCAGATAATCTTAATTTTTCCGAAAAACTATAATAATAACAGTACTTTCATTATTTTTGCATCGTTTTCATTCCATTAAATTGTCTATTCTTAAAAAATTGAATTCATTGCATTAGTTTTATTTTTTTGCATCATTTTCATCATACGATCTTGATTTTTTACAAAACTATAATCATTACAGTACTTTCATTATTTTTGCATCATTTTTATTCCATTAAATTCTCTATTCTTGAAACATTAAAATCATTGCATTAGTTTCATTACTTTTGCATTATTTCCACTTCATGAAATTATCTATTCTTAAAAAATTGAATTCACTGCATTAGTTTTATTTCTTTTTCATCATTTTCATCAGATAATCTTAATTTTTTTATAAAAGCATTATAATAACAGTAATTTCATTATTTTTGCATCATTTCTATTTCATTAAATTGTCTATTCTTGAAAAATTAAGATCACTGCATTAATTTCATTACTTTTACATCATTTCCACCGCATTAATTTGTCTATTTTAAAAAAACTGAAATCATTGTATTAGTTTTATTTCTTTTGCATCATTTTTATCAGATAATCTTGAGTTTTTTTGCAAAATT